TAATATAAGAAGCTTTTTACAACTTGGAAGGAAAAGTTCTGCAAGTTGCAAAAACCACCTCCATAACTTTGTCCAGAGAATCGTTTGGCAGATTTTGAATGCATTTGAAATCAGCATCAAAAAATACGTCTGGCAGTATAAGTCTCATTTCAAATGGCCACTTCGACTTGGGATCCTTCCCATGTGATATAAGTGCGCCTTCAATTAATGTACAACTTCTTAGAATCATTTTAGTTTCGGAACGTGTTCGATATTTTGCTCCCACCTTGCAGAACATGAAGCCCGTTTCGAAAGCACCACGGAACAAACGGTTCGCCGTAGATCGCAGACTGTTACGAAGGAATTCCAACAAGATTCCGAATCAAAGTAAGCTTGGTGTCAAAAGGACCAGCATTTTGAATATAACCGATTACCAAGCAGTAAAAGACGCTTTGAATTTCAGACAGCAAAAAAGACTGTCACTGCGGAATTTGTCAAAGACCTTTGACGGAGAATGATAATCGGGGTGGTGGTAACTCTCCATTCTTTGAAAACGAATATCCTAACTAGTTGTAAGAACTGACTACTGATTTTCTAGCGCAATGTGATGATGGTCCAAATTCTGCGGGAACTATTAATAGTTCCAATGAAATGAACGTGGAACTCGTCGATATATTTATGAAACAGCTTATACGGAAACCCTCTATGAGAGAAATGATGTCGCAGGAACCCTCTATGGAAGAAGTCATGTCAGGTATTAACCTACCTTTTGAATATTTATAGCTCTGTATTTAAACCATTTTCATAGTAGCGTAATAAAGTAGACAGTGGCTTTTGTGAAGACAACAACGAATCTGCATTTGGACGGCTGAGCCGCAATATTAGTAGATAGATACTGATACTAACTTCGCTCGTAAAGAACAAACTCCCATGTGCCAATGTAAGCTTCATTTGAAGCAGCCATCATATCCTGCGAATGGCAAATTGCAATTAAGCCTTAGCTAGCGGCGAACGATTGGTCTCCAGACTTCCATTGACGCGACGCACGAGTTCCGCGTGCAGCGATCGATCCTATACGAGAGTCAGAGGCAGTTTTTGGTTGTCGATATGGTATACCACTTTACCTGATCGTCGGTAAGCGACAGAGCGAAGCTGGACGAAAGATTCAGAGCGTCTTAGAAAAAAAAA